GTTTATAAGGTTTAGGGTTGAAGGCTTAGAAAGTTTGGGATTTCAATGTGATTAACGGCTCAAAGTGGTTCATCTTGAGAAAGGGGGCAGGGGGTACAGGGGCAGGTGGACTGTTGGGAAGAGCCCATGGAATGGACACTCTAATGTTCATGGGGATTTTCTAGTGCAAGGGTTAAGGAGGGTTTCAGGGCTTGAGGGTTTAAGGCTTCAGATTTCACGGTCCTTTCCCTCATGTTCAAATCCCCCCTACCGCCCCGTAGACTATGGAATAGACCAGTGCTCTATACTATGATATACTAGACTACGATAATGTAGTAATTACAGTGAGAGACCATGTGAACGTCCAAAAGTGATGGCCGTTTTGGAAATCTGATAGTGAGGAGAATTTCGCATTTCATGAACACAGATAGCCAAAAACGACGATGACGACACTTACCAATTTTGGTGCCCAGATAACCAGATGACAGCTACGAGGAGGAGCGCGATGTTCGTCCAAAATGCGAGCAGGCTTCAAGAAAAACGCGCTTCGGGGGAGGGGGGGGGGGTTAATACAAGATAATATTATGTAGTATAATGGGATACAATATAATCCAGCATGACCATAATACTACAGTATCAGTGATCTAGTATATTTCAAAACAATAACCATAATCGCAATCACAATCATAGTCATAATCAGAAGCATAATACTCACAATCTATTTATTTGTTGCTTAGGTGTAAAGCAAGGGTGCCGTCTCTCGAAGCTTCTCCTGCAGGCCCCCTGTGAACCCCATAAAAGCCCCCGAAACCCTGTGTAAAAGCCCTATACATATCCTAGACAAACCCTCTACCCCCTTGAGAAGCCTCAAAAAATTGGGAACCCTCAGTCTCTGCGCAAGCTTGCGGGGGGCCTCATCTCGACCATCATCTTCCGCGCCGTCATCTCCCGTCATGGACGCGTACAGCTTGTCATCCGCAGTTCTGCAGCCACCCTGGCTTTGCTGAGCAGGATTGAGTGTTCCGGGTTCAGGGTTTAGGGCCGAAGATTGGGGCACAACATCAACTCCTAAAAACTCACAACATCTCGCGGAGCCATGTCTGTCAACAACTGCATGGCAGATGTTGGATACATGAGCCTGACCAAGACTGAGATTGCTGTGAACAGCCGGTGGCATCTGTCAGCACGAAGAAAGGAAGAGATTGCACTAAAATACCACTTTCACCCATGTAGTGTCATGTGATTCTCAGTGTTTTTTGATGAGGGTGTCCGAAAATAGGGGGACCCCCAACGTAGATCCCAAAATAGGAAGATTCCTTCTAATACGGATTCCAATAAGGTAACCCCATTTCTAAAACCCCCTTATGGCTTCGGGGCCCTAAACCCTAAACCCTAAACCCTAAACCCTAAACCCTAATGCCTAAACCCTAATGCCTGGTCCGGCTTGTCCGGCTTGGCAATGTGATCCTGGAGCACGGCCTCCCAGCAAGAGCCCAGAACAGCCTTCATGCAACTCCCGGGGTTTAGGGTTTAGGGGTTTAGGGGTTTAGGGGTTTAGGGGTTTAGGGGTTTAGGGGTTTAGGGGTTTAGGGGTTTAGGGGTTTAGGGGTTTAGGGGTTTAGGGGTTTAGGGGTTTAGGGGTTTAGGGGTTTAGGGGTTTAGGGGTTTAGGTGTTTAGGGGTTTAGGGGTTTAGGGGTTTAGGGGTTTAGGGGTTTAGGGGTTTAGGGGTTTAGGGGTTTAGGGGTTTAGGGGTTTAGGGGTTTAGGATTTGGGGGTTTGGGGGTTTAGGGGTTTAGGGGATTAGGGGTTGAGGGGTTTAGGGGTTTAGGGGTTTAGGGGTTTGGGTTTAGGGTTTAGGGTAATTCAAAGCACATGATAGTGCTTTCCGAGAGTAGGGATACCCTTTTCGGGGGTTCCTTTAATAAGGACTACAGTATTTGGGGGTATATTGGGGGCACCCCTATGTTGGGAAATACCCATATAGTGCTTTCCGCAATTGGGCGGCACCTTACTGGGGGTCCTGATTGTGAAGGAATCCTACCATGTGGGGGTCTAATTTAGGAGGTTCCCTGAATCGTAGACCACCACATCTCGTACGTACGGAAGTATCGCGCTATGCTTTTGATGGCTGGTCCTGCCCTGACATGCTCTCTGCTTAGTAGGAATTCGCAGACGCGAAAACGCGTTGGGCTCCTCGAGCAATTCAGCAGGGTTGCTGGGAAGCAACCGGTGCACAGGTAGCTCGATCGGCTTTCAACAGCTTGGACCGAGACATGTCAAACGATCTACGCTTCTCCACGCCAATGGAGCAGCATTACGAGCCGTGTTGCTACGCATAACCTACACCCCCCATGTGTGCTGCGGCGTAAGCCGTGGCAAGGCTGCTGCGCCAGTCTCCACTGATAGGACCAATGACTACGCTTGAGCATCCTCACGCTAAGCCCGGAAACCCACCTGCCTCGACATTCCCGCCATTTTCGGCAGCAATCAGACTCATCAGCTTCCGCAGCTCATCGGCGTTGGCCATGGGGCTATCCTGCTGGTCCGGAAGCAGCCAGGTTCAAACATGCTAGAACGGGTTCTGCCAACCGTGCCGTTCCTTTGCTAGGGATACCCAAACCGTCGCCTGAGCCTCCAGAACAAATAAACAATTGGCGTAAGACGTATTACTTGTCATCATCAATCAATCCATCAATCCATCAATCCATCAATCCATCAATCCATCAATCCATCAATCCATCAATCCATCAATCCATCAATCCATCAATCCATCAATCCATCAATCCATCAATCCATCAATCAACCAATCAATCAACCAACCAATCAATCAGTCATCAAAAAACCAATCAAAAAACAATCAAACAAGCAATCAATCAATCGGTCAGCCAACCCATCATCCAATCATTGATCATCAGTCATCCACCATCATCATCATCATCCCTAAACCCTAAACCCTAAACCCTAAACCCTAAACCCTAAACCCTAAACCCTAAACCCTAAACCCTAAACCCTAAACCCTAAACCCTAAACCCTAAACCCTAAACCCTAAACCCATCATCAAATCAAAACAAAATACAGCGCCCATCAAGGCCCAGAAGCCGGGAGCCCTGAAACCCAAACCCAGCTCCCGAGCCTCTCCGGCGGCCTCCAGGGGCTCAGGAGACGAAGCCTCCAAGGGCCATATTGGGGGGTTTTGGGGTTGGGTTTAGGGTTTAGGGTTTAGGGTTTAGGGTTCAGGGTTCAGGGTTCAGGGTTCAGGGTTCAGGGTTTAGGGTTTAGGGTTTAGGGTTTAGGGTTTAGGGTTTAGGGTTTAGGGTTTAGGGTTTAGGGTTTAGGGTTTAGGGTTTAGGGTTTAGGGTTTAGGGTTTAGGGTTTAGGGTTTAGGGTTTAGGCTTTAGGGTTTAGGGTTTAGGGTGTAGGGGTTTAGGGTTTAGGGTTTAGGGGGGTAAGGGGGTTCCAAGGCGGCAAAGACGGAGTGTCCTGCGCAGGCATGCTAACCTTCAACCCGACGCCGGTTGCTTCCTAATCCTGCTCGAAGGAAGCCCACGAAAGGGCTCAGTTTTGAGGCTTCAGGGCTTGCAGGGTTGATAATTGGGGGGGGAAGTTAGTTTAATTTAGATGGCTTCTGTAAATGGTCTACCCTAAAGCGTCAACCCTCAACCCTAAACCCGAAACCCTAAACCTTACACCTGTAATATATCGATCTCTAGTTCGATCTTAGTGTTGCGCTCGCTGCGCGGGCATCCCTCCCCCTGCCCCGAGGCCTTGAGGCTCAGCCGTGCAGGTGCTGGATCCTGAGTTGAACGGTTTAGGGTTTAGGGTTTATAAGGGTTTATAAGGGTTTATAAGGGTTTAGGGTTTAGGGTTTAGGGTTTAGGGTTTAGGGTTTAGGGTTTAGGGGGCCATGAAGGCCTGGGGCAATTGTCCCGCAGAATCTTAAACCCCTTCTCAGTAGTTCATAATCACCAAGACTACATCCTCCCAAACTCAAAGCTGAAGATCCCTAAACCCTAAACCCTAAACCCTAAACCCTAAACCCTAAACCCTAAACCCTAAACCCTAAACCCTAAAGCCTAAAGCCTAAAGCCTAAAGCCTAAAGCCTAAAGCCTAAACCCTAAAGCCTAAAGCCTAAACCCTAAGTGCCACGTGCTTCGCGGAGGGCTGTTCCGGGATCAGCTCGAGCTCCGGGCTTGGGCCTAAAACCGGCACACCTTGGACAATGAACCCTAAACCCTAAGCCCTAAGCCCTAAACCCTAAGCCCTAAGCCCTAAACCCTAAACAAACCCTACTTGGAGGTTCATGGGTAGTTAGAAGTAGGGTTCGAAGTATGGTAGTTCTACCTATAACCCCAATTGAGGTACCTACAACCCTACTTATAACTACCCATGAACCTCCAAGTAGAGGCTCCCAGAGTTTCCAACCTGTAAACCCCAAACCCCAAACCCCAAACCCCAAACCCTAAACCCTAAACCCTAAACCCGAAACCCGAAACCAAGAACAGCTTCCAAGCCGCGTTCTCTCGTCCCGCGTCACGCGGCGCCTCCCCGATGCTGGATTCAGGAGACGCCTCCTCCAAGGGTCGAGAGGGTTCAGGTTTAGAGGGTAGAGGGTTTAGGGTTTAGGGTTTAGGGTTTAGGGTTTAGGGTTTAGGGTTTAGGGTTTAGGGTACAGGGTTAAAGGGTTAAAGGGTTATAGGGTTATAGGGTTATAGGGTGACAGGGTTACAGGGTTATAGGGTTATAAGGTTATAGGGTTATAGGGTTACAGGGTTATAGGGTTATAGGGTTGTAGGGTCATAGAGTTTAGGGTTTAGGGTTTCCCCATCACCCACTCATTACCCAACACATCCCGATCCGAGCCCACCTCCCCTATTCTTCTTCATGTCCACTGATCGATAAGCCGTCGGAATGTCGGCGCGTAAGAAGATTGCGTCGCTCTCACGCAAACTTCGCATGCATAGAACAACTGAAGCCTTGTAATTTACTTGGCGGGCTTTGCCACCACATAAAGCGCTGCACTCAATCTCGCTCGTAGCTTGCACCGAGTCGGAGACGTGCTCGGTTTGCACAGAGCGACTGCTCCAACAGGGCCGTGAAGGTCGCCTTGCCCCCTGAGTCATCGCGCTTGCTGCGAACGTGCAGCGCATGCTCCAGAACCCGGTGTTCGGGCAGAACTGTCCAAGATACCTGCGCAGACCCCAGACGTTCCGTGTCGAGATCAACCGAGTAGGAGGCACAAGGCGATGAGTCCAGGAGGTTGTCACGCAGCCCTCGAGTTTTCGCTTTCACTTTCTTGTCACAGCGCGCTGCAGCAGCTGGCTGCACCTTCCCACCTGCAGGGTTTTTTAACGTTAAAAAAACCATTTAGGTTTTTTTGGTTAGGGTTTGTTAACGTAAAAAACCCTAAATGGCTGCACCTTCCCACCTTCTAGGCCCACGTCAAGGAGCCCAGTGCGCCAACCAATGGTCAGCTGCCCTCGCTTGTGAGGCGGCATGTCTGTCTGCGTCACGCCCAGTGATGAGCCCATCTGGTTCCAGCGGGGCCCCCTCGCATCTCCGTCGCCTTCATACGGACCACCGAAGCCCCACAAAAAACGATAGAAGGCGCGCGCCTTCCGGAACAGCTTCAACGCGCCGATGTCTGCCAGAACGTCCAGCCTCCGGTCATCTCCTGGGGCTTTACGAAAACAGGGGGTATTTTATTGGGACCCTTATTATCAGGCAATCTTACTATTTGAGGATCTATATCCTGGGGGTCCCTAAACCCAAAACCCTAAACCCTAAAACCCCGCCTGTGGACTGGAAGCCCATGAAAAGCTGGTAGCCTTGCGCCGTGTCCGTGCGGAGCTCCTTAGGGTTTAGGGTTTAGGGTTCAGGGTTCAGGGTTCAGGGTTCAGGGTTCAGGGTTTAGGGTTTAGGGTTTAGGGTTTAGGGTGTGTCAGGGGAGGGCGCGCGCTCGGGTGTGAAACACCCCGGGCCGCGCGCTCGCGTTGCCCGTCAACCCACCCCGGCCACCCAAACTATACTCTATTAGGGTTTAGGGTTTATGGAATTTACTTTCTGGTGCTCTGATGCTTGCTTTGATGTTTTTAAAGTTGCGCTGTTAGGGTTTAAGCTGGGGTTGGGGGTAGCCTCGGCCCTTTTCGGGCCTTCGGCGTGTCAGGGCCCGTAGAGGCCTTTATTTATTTGAAGGTCAGGGAAACCCTTTGTGTCTGCTCCTGGATTCCCCTTCTTTAAGGGCCTCAATTAAGCATCGATTTCACTACCAAAAAATCGCATTTTTCATTGCGGGTACGGGCATCCTGGGGTCCCCCTTCTTTTAGGGGGCCTTTTGAAGCCTTTTGAAGCATTTTGGTGGCTCTTGGGGTCTCTCGGGGCCTTGTTCGGACCTTCGGCGTGTCAGGGGTTTTATTCATTTAAAGGTCAGGGAACCTATTAATGAATTTTTCGCCAATGAGTATTTCAATCGCTAGGGTTTAAGCTCGGGTTCGGGGTAGCCTCGGCCCTTTTCGGGCCTTCGGCACGTTAGGACCCGTAGAGGCCCTTATTTGCTTGAAGGCCTTCGCAGGGTTTTGCGGTGATAGGGTTTAAGCTGGGGTTCGGGGTAGCCTCGGCCCTTTTCGGGCCTTCGGCACGTTAGGGCCCGTAGAGGCCCTTATTTACTTGAAGGCCGTCGTAGGGTTTTGCGGTGTTAGGGTTTAGGTTGGGGTTCGGGGTAGCCTCGGTCCTTTCCGGGCCTTCGGCACGTCAGGGCCCGTAGAGGTCCTTGCTGGGGGGAGCCATCGATTTCAGTACTAAAAAAGAACATTTTTCATTACGGGCAGGGGTGCGTAAAACCATCGTTTTCAATATTCAAAAATCGCATTTTTCATTGTGGGCACGGACAAATCTTATGGTCCCCCTTCTTTTAGTGTGCCTTTTGAAGCTTTTGAAGCCTTTTGGCGGCTCTTGGCGCCTCTTGGGGTCTTGGCCTAGAGGGGGGGCTTGGGTCGGTCCGAGGTTCTTGGTGCGGGACCCTGGGTGGGGCGGTTTTGGCCCGAGGGGATTTGGTTCGGGGGCCCTTTGGCCCGGGGCCCTCGGCCCGGGGGGGCCCTTGGCTCGGGGGGCCCTTGGCCCGGGAGGCCCTTTGGCTGGGGGGCCCAATTAAGGGGGGCCCCTTGGCGCGGGGTTCTTGGGGGGGGCCCTTGGTCCGGGGGGCCCTTGGCCCGGGGGGCCCTTGGCCCGGGGGGGCCCTTGGCCCGGGGGCCCTTGGCCCGGGGGGCCTTGGTGCGGAGAGTTGGTGGCAAACACCCCAAATCACGAAATTGAGCAACCAGCCTGCCTGGACCCCTCGCCAGCCTCCTGGTCCAGGAATCCAGCTACCAGGGCCCAGGGGGCCCCCGGGGGGGGGGGCCCGACAAACCCTGAACCCAAAACCCTGAACCGACCTCCAGAGGCAAAGGGTTACGATTTGGGGTTATACTTTAGCTACGCTAAAGGTGGTCTGGGTGCCGGCCATCCCTTAGCCGAGTACTGACGTTGTCGTAAAACAGGCCGATGTCCGTTGGCCTGTCCAGGACAGACGGTGAGGCTTAACCCTCACCTTTCCGTTTCTCTTTTTGCTTGGGCGCTCGGGCTGTAAGGCCCTCGGCCGAGCGTTCGGGGTCTGTCGCTCGACGGAAGCGACCCCTCACTTAGTTTAGGGTTTAGGGTTTAGGGTTTAGGGTTTAGGGTTTAGGGTTTAGGGTTTAGGGTTACATCCGTTCAACGGGCCAAGGCCCCGGCGAGCATAGCGAATGTACAGCAGGCGGGGCAAGGTACGCACCCCTAATGTGCCTGCTGACTCAGCGCCAACTAGTCGAGCCCGCGGCGGAGGTTTAGGGTTTAGGGTTTAGGGTTTAGGGTTTAGGGTTTAGGGTTTAGGGTTTAGGGTTTAGGGTTTAGGGTTTAGGGTTTAGGGTTTAGGGTCTAGGGTCTAGGGTCTAGGGTTTAGGGTTTAGGCTTTAGGGTTTAGGGTTCAGGGTTCAGGGCTCCTTCCGGAAGCCCAGCTCCAGGGCCCCGCTCGGGTACAGCGGGCTGTAGCGGAGCCCTGCGCGGCTGCGGAGGCGCCCCACAAGGGGAATGTCGAGGACCTCGGCTGGCCCTCTTAGGACCCCCTGAAAAGTAATTCCGGAATAATTCTTCTCTTAAACCCAATAAGGGGAAATGTGAAATATCCCTATAGATGATTCTCTTAAACATCTTAAACCCAAAAAGTAAGGGAAATTACTAAAATGCACCAAGGGATTGCCTAGGGACACCGAAATCTGCGATGAAGCTGCAGGAGCCGGAGATGCCGGAGACCTCCAGGCCTCTGCTGCCATTCATGCCGAGATCCAGACCAATGTCTGTGATGAGCGGAAGCACATCAGCCTTAGTAGCCCAGTATTACTTTTAAAAAGGGAACAAAGAACCAAAAAACAAACAAAAAAAAGAGTAAAGGGCACCACTGGGTTACCAAGCAGCTCCTTTTAGCGAGGCAAGGTCGGACCATTCAGCAGACCGTATGAAGGCAGTGGGGTAGCCGATTGAACCAGCTGAGAAGAAAAGTATCGCTGTCACCACCAGACCTCCCAATCGACAATTCCAGCCCCTTCTCCCCGAGCGCCAACGAGCCATGGCTGACGGCACGTGCTCGTGCTCAGAGGGAGCAGGCCTACTACAGTGAGCCAAATTGGCTCTCTGTTGGGGCTTACATGGACGCACTGCTAGGGCAGGAGAGCGTACGCCAAGTTGAGGTCAGAGATCCTCCTGCATGCTGCTTGTAAGAATTCTGCCGACACCGAAACGCATGAGCACATACAACTGAGTAAGTGAAGCCCCAAATGGGAGCGCGCCCTCATCTGGAGCAACAGGGACTGAGCCACTCAAACTACATTTCCACTATATTGGAACTTGCTGACTACACACTCATGTGTCAGCCAAAGGCACAGGGGCTCTAAGGTTTAGGGTTTAGGGTTTAGGGTTTAGGGTTTAGGGTTTAGGGTTTAGGGCCAAGTTTAGGGAGCCCTTACCAGCTTCGAAGCGCCTCCGCGGCCGCAGCCTCCGGCGTGGACACCGAGCGCAGCAGCTGAGCTGCCAGAGGCGTCTGCAGATGCGTCGCGGGAGCGGCAGCTTCCGGCACTGGGTCCTTTAGGGTTTAGGGTTTAGGGTTTAGGGTTTAGGGTTTAGGGTTTAGGGTTGAGGGTTGAGGGTTGAGGGTTGAGGGTGTAGGGTTGAGGGTTGAGGATTTAGGGTTTAGGGTTTAGGGTTTAGGGATCTGGCATCCGAGAATGAGAAGGTAGCCCAGCAACCTTCTTGTAGTAAGGGCACCCTTTTTTTGGGGGGTTGGTTTCTTTATAAGGGAACCCAGAACCAAGATATCGGGTAAATGGTACCTCTGGGCTACCAAGCCCTGAACCCTAAGTTTTGAATCCGAAAACCCTAAACCGACGACCCCTGAGAAAAAGCTTGGGATGAACCGCCAAAGCCCGCTGCCCTGCCTTCGGACGACTCGCGGGGGTCTCCTGCGAGGCGCTCCAGGGGCTTCGCTGCTAAACCCTACACCCTAAACCCGAAACCCTAAACCCGAAACCCTAAACCCGAAACCCTAAACCCGAAACCCTAAACCCTTCAGTTGAGAGCCAGCTCCAGTCTTAGGGTGGTTTCATGGGCCCTAGATGTGGACCTCCTTTCAAGGGTTCTGATGTAAGGGGTATACACGGGGTCCACGCTTAAGGGCACCAACTCACCCCTCGAATTCCGTGATCCCATGAATTTGCGTCTAGGCATTAGGGAGCCAGCCCCATAGTCCCTCAAATGTTCGGTGGGCGGACAGAGGCCCATGATCTTTCACTTTCGTCCCAAAGCAGCATCCTCGAACCCTGAACCCGACGCAGTGGAACCCAGGACCCAAAACCCAAAACCCTAAACCGGTCGACCGGGTCAACATTGGGGCTCCTTCTCCTTCGTGATAGGGCTGGCCGAGGGTGGCGAAGACACGACGACCCCGCCAGACCTCACAGCACCGAAAATCGCAAGAAAGTGGAGCTTGAGGTATGGGGGGGGGGGAAGGAAGGGGGGGGGGGGGGGTTCCGAGCATCCTGCCTCTGATTCTCTTCCTTTATGAAACCTTTGAGGTTCTGGGCTGAGGAACCAGCCAGCCGAACGGTGCTTGAGTGTTTCGGGCTTGCAGTCCTAAGCAAAGGATGTGGTCATTTCTGTTAAAGATTATGGTCCCTCTTATCCTAAACCCTAAACCCCAAACCCCAAATCCTCTACATCTTCGGGGCCGCCAGAGAATCGTAACCCCAAGAAGGAGGGGAGCCATCATGTTAGAGAAGTGGCCACCACTGAGCAGGGATCTGAAGAGATGTCTGAAGTCATGGGTAGGACCCAGCTTAAGTGCTATGCAGCGCTCCGAAGGCTAATGTGGGGTTGGGGTTTAGGGTTTAGGGTTTAGGGTTTAGGGTTTAGGGTTTAGGGTTTAGGGTTTAGGGTTTAGGGTTTAGGGTTTAGGGTTTAGGGTTTAGGGTTTAGGGTTTAGGGTTTAGGGTTTAGGGTTTAGGGTTTAGGGTTTAGGTTAGGGTTTAGGGTTTAGGGTTTAGGGTTTAGGGTTTAGGGTTTAGGGTTTAGGGTTTAGGGTTTAGGGGGCTTAGGGGGCTTAGGGGGCTTAGGGGGCTTAGGGGGCTTAGGGGGCTTAGGGGGCTTAGGGCTTAGGGCTTAGGGCTTAGGGCTTAGGGTTTAGGGTTTAGGGTTTAGGGTCTCGGGTTTAGGGTTTAGGGTTTAGGGCTTTGTCCTTACAGTGTGGGCCCGCAGCCAAGGTGCCCGAAACCCTCCGCCGGGCGAGGAGCGTTTGCGCGTCCCTGCCAACGGCATGCTATACAAGAGTAAGCAATATAGGGGTCGGAACAATTACTAATCATGTTCCCTGATCGTCCGTATATAAGTAGACCAGAGTATCCCTCAAACCCAGTTCTAATTCTTCACTGCCTCGGGAGGTTTTACGAGGGTAGAGAACCACTGAAAACAGTCGGGTCCAGATACTGGCCTACCCCCTTTGGCGAGCCTTTTGGCGACAATATTTCGGCGAGGAGTACAAGAGGACATCCATTTTGAAAACAGCGTGTTGTGCGGTCTGACTCAATTGCCAGACAACATCGTACCAGTACAGCGAGGGAGATTAGTGTTTGGAGCTTGTCGTGTTTAGGGTCTCATGACTTGCAGAGAGCTTGGGGGCTGCACTCGGTTTCAGGCCCTCGCGAAAATTTGGACGAGCGCCCGACTCTTATACTCAACTGTGAGCACGCGGGGGCGATGTTGGATCTGTGAGGAAGGAGCCTTCCACCCGCACCCTCCCTGGAATGCCCAGGTACCTAGATCCCATAAGTAAGGTCACGTCTATTCATGATGGCTTTCTCAAGGGTATCCGGTCTTATTACCAACTTCACCCCTTTGGATCTCATCCCCAACGATCCCTACAATAGTATACGCTGAGCTGTACCAAATCCGCCGTCCACTGAAAAAAAGGGGCCCGCAACTCAACCCTAAATCCTCAACCCTAAAGTGCCCTAAAGATTTAAAAAGGCTCCAGGATGAGGTTACCCTTCGGCACAGCCCCTAGGAAGGCCCGGCCTTGAGGCTCCGCCGCCTTGCACCGAGGTCTGTGGCGACCTGCGTTTCGGGTGCTTCTCGGATTTGGGGTTTAGGGCTTAGGGGCTGCAGGCTCTGCCAAAACCAAGGGTTTAGGGTTTAGGGTCTAGGGTTTAGGGTTTAGGGTATGGCTTTCAGGGATTTAGGCCTTCACAGCGGAAAAGACTGCTAAAGCGGCACGCGGTCAACATGGCAAAAGAGCCTGGGATTTCCAGTTCGAGGACTTCGGCTGGTGCCACTGCTCGCTCGACAGAGCTCTACATGGTCAGTTGGATACGCCTTATAATGGTAACCCCAAAGGGGACCATAGTTTGAGAAGTGACCGCGCTGAAATCAGCTGAAATGGATGTTCGGCTGGGCCTGAGCAACCCGCGGGAAGCGAACCTCGGGTAGCCTCAACGACCCTGAGCCATCAACCCCGAACTAAAATAGACATGTACATATACGTCTATGTGAAAATAATAGACCCGACAACATGTAAGATAGAATCTACAATATAGAACTTGCACGATGTACCCTAAAACCTCTCGACCCTGAAGCCGTGCCCCAGCTGGTGGTGTCCGAAATTAGGGGTACCTTCTTGGGGTCCTTAGTACAAGGGAATCCTACTACAGGGCTCCCCACACCCTAAACCCTAAACCCTGTTTTTGGTAAACTCACAGCTGAGCCCCGCCGTGGCCCAGCTGGCGGCCATCTCGGCAAAGAACTCGCAGCGGATGCGGGCCTAAGTGGGCTTTTGCAAGGAAAGGCCTAGGTTTAGGGATTAGGGTTTATAGGGAGGGTAAAGGGTTTAGGGTTTCGGGTTTAAGGTTTAAGGCCTGCCTCAGTGGGCTTTTGCAAGGAAAGGCCTAGGCTTAGGGTTTCTAGGGCAGAGGGTATAGGGCTTTGGGTTTAGGGCTTTGGGTTTAGGGTTTAGGGTTTAGGGTTTAGGGTTTAGGGTTTAGGGTGCGCATTTTCCACGCCCGGTTGCGTGTTCTGGGGCCTTAGAATGATTTTGATGTCCAGAGTCTGGGCCGAAGTTGTGCCCAAGAGCCATGGGATGACACGGCTGCACCGAACCTTACGTACCAGCCAGTCTGTAGTACGGGTGCCCTAAACCCTAAACCCTAAACCCTAAGCCCTAAACCCTAAACCCTAAACCCTAAACCCTAAACCCTAAACCCTAAACCCTAAACCCTAAACCCTAAACCCTAAACCCTCGGCCGAAGCTCGAGTTTGGCTTCTTAGAGCTTCACCCTGAACCGGCCACTCTGAACCTTGAAAATGGTCCGTTCTCAACGTTAGGATCTAGAATTGGGCTTTGGGCTTTGGGCTTTGGGCTTTGGGCTTTGGGCTTTGGGTTTAGGGTTTAGGGTACGGGGGCAACCGAAAGGGGAAAGGAAAGAATCTCAACCCTTGGTTGCCTAAATGAACTCCCTGAACCGAAGAACACAACACAGATCCAGACAAGAGCACCCGAAGGAGAGAGGGGGATATCCTTACCAAAGTAACCAGACACCAACCCCAACTCCAAACCCCAGGGCACTACTTTTCGCTTTGAACAGCCGTTGTTAGTGGCCATTCTTGAGCCTTGAGCCACAAAGGTTCCCAGGTTCATTGACCCTTTATCCTTCAACACCAACCCTTTTTCACAATACAAACTGCAGCTCCGCATAGGGTTTAGGGCTTAGGGTTTAAAATTTAGGGTTTAGGGTTTAGGGTTTAGGGTTCCTTTGGGTTTGGGCTTGAGGCTTTAGAGCCCCCGGTATACTTGGCGACCCCAGTGACTCGACTTGAGAGCCTTGAAAACTACCTCCCCCCCCCCCCATCAAAATCCCCCGCACCCCGTTTAGGGTTTAGGGTTTAGGGTTTAGGGTTTAGGGTTGAGGGTTGAGGGTTGAGGGTTGAGGGTTGAGGGCCAAGAACCCAAGCAGCAGACTTCGGCATCCCTTCAGCAGCACAAAAGCCTTCAGAACATCCTCAAATCCTGTGCCAAGATCTGCCAAAGA